CGGGGAGCACGTGCCGCTCTATGAAAGTTCCCACAACCAGTTGACCGATTATTTTCCTTGCCAGTTGAAAGGAGACTCTGGAGGAGACAATCGGCACCCATATGGCCGTGGGCTCCCTCCCGCTTTAAGCTCTTCTAGGAGACTATCTGAACTTATCGTGTCACCTGGTCTTGTCTAGAGGCCTTGCAAGATACTTTCTCGTTTGTAAACAATACCGAAGGACATGTCTTCCCCGTTCGCTGTACGCCGCTTATCTGCTTCTCGCAAAAAAAAAAAAAAAAAAAAAAAAAAAAAAAGAAATTGAAGCGTTTGGTAAGGAGGGGATTTAAACTCATGCTCTTTTGTATCTAATGCTCGTTTATATTGGGTGGCAGGTCAAAATTTAAGGGAGGCGACCGCCACCCCTCGCCTCCCTTGGGCGCCGTCTCTGCCTCCCATACTGCACTGGCGTGTTTGCCATGCGGGGGAACGCGGAGCGCACCGTTTTTGTCCACTCAGCCAGCCTGGTTCTTCGTTTTGTTTCTATTTTGAGCAGTCGTTTCCCGAAGAAAACAATAATTTATTCTAGCTTTTTTTTCCCCTGTTGCAGTTTTCTTTTGTGTGTGTGTGTGTGTGTGTTTTGGAGGTCTGAGCAACCACGGGGGTCGGGTAATTGCTTCCGTGGGGAGAGCCGAAGCGCGGGGCGGGGAGATTGTCTGCGTGAGTAGAAAGCCCTTCTTGAACGAGAGACTGCCTACGGATGTAGCAACTAGCAAGTTGAGGGAACAAGGTATCCCAACTACCAAGGCAATTGAGAGGGCCTTAGCAGGATACACAGGTTGTCAAGGGAGAGATCGCACTGCAGTATGTGTTGAAGCACCACAAACACGGTGGTCGTCGGAGACATCAAAGTATTGCAGCATCCTCGCCTGTATTTCTGCGTCTCGTTTTCGAATCACCATTTGGTTATTGGCAAGCCAGCCTGCTGTGTTCAGGCGGGCACCTTATCATACACCCAGACTGTTTTACCCTCTTTTCAAAGAAGACCATAAAAACAGGAAACATGCTGAAATAAAAAGGGCATCGCCAGTGAATGTCTACCACCGAAGACGACCGCGTTCACTGGTGTAGTAAACTTCTTTTGAAATTTTCACGAATGCCTCGTTGTAAATTCTCACAAGAATGGAGCTGCCTCAAGAAATTTCAGAAGAATGCGTCCACGATTAAAATACACCTTCGTTGAAAACGTGAGTTTTTACGTGCAGGCGCCCGATTTTTCAGTGCATTTTTCATCGACACCGTAGATCGATGCCACCGCGTATAGCTACTACTATTGAATAAGATTGTGTCAACATCTCATTGTTTCGTGACGGGAATTTTGGATGAATGTATGGACACACGCTATAGGTTCAAAAGTAAACATTTCGGTGGAACTTCGCTTGGTTAGCTAAGTAAGAAGACAAGGTACTTTGTAGACTCTAACCAAAATCTTCAATGTGCCCGACGTTTCGAAGCCGGATCGGCTCCTTAATCACGGGTTACTCTATGTGGGCCCAAAGGTAGCAGTCTGTCGTTGTTTTCTTCTTCTCTCTCTTAGCATGCATTGTTTTCTTCTTCTGTTTTCGTGTATGACGCATCGTAGCCCGTGGATATAGCTGCTTGGCAGCGTTCCCGTGGTTTGGTTCAGTTTGTGGTATGTACTTTGTATGTGCCAAGATCCTAATATGAGACACTTTCTCCCGTTTCTTTCCCTATCGAGGATGGAACTGCTGTCAAAGCCGATGACGTAGCCGGTGCTCTGAGCATGTTCCGCCAGTGTGTTGCCTTGGATGTCTTTCTTCTTTACCTCATACTTATGTCTGCGCGGACGTTCGGGAAAGTTCTTGGTTTCCCCCCCCATAAGAGGCGTCGCATTCAGCACAAGGAATTAGGTGGCGGCGCTGGCTCATTCACACCAAGAGCGTTCTAATTGCAAATAAACATCTGCATATTTTTTTAACTCTATGACTCTCTTAGAATTTCATAAAACATATTTCCCCAGATCAATAACTCTCTTGCACCCCTTGACCCAGTCACAGATCATGACTTTTCTGATTGCGGATGAGCCGTTGCAAGAGATCCTATTGGAGCGACTTGAGTAGCGCCCGAGCGCACACTTGGCTGTTGCCTTCGACGCTGAACCGCTTAGGCTACCTAAAACCCCTCTAAATCAACGTTAATTTCCACTTATTCGCCATTGTTTTTCGAGATGTAAGCTGTTATCGTTCCGCCCTAGACATGCCCGCCATCGGTCGGGGCAGAAGCTTCCGCAATGTCGCTTGTTCCAAGCGATGCCTAGAAAAAATGAATCAAACTATTTTGTCAGCAAGCTTTCGAGCGATGCCCAGAAATACGAACCAAATAATTTTGTCAGCCAGGTACTAATATTAAAGTACTAACTTGAAATGGTAGCACAATGAACATCGAACCAGCCATGTATAACGAATATGGATCGGACGCGGAGCAACCTTCCGTTTTCATGGGCAATATCAGCCACATCAGCGATGAAACCAAGTTCACGTGCTATTTTTAATGTTTCATGGCGCCTGGGCATTAATATGACTAAGTTCGGTTACTGTGGCATGCGTCGCTCGTGTACCACTAGTCGTTAAGACAGAAACGCCCCAGCGGTAATTGATGCGACCACGACCGGTTACACATTAATTTTCTTGTTTTGAAACAAAATAATGCTACATGTCTTTGCAGGTTTGTAATTACCGGTCGTCAAAGGCCCTGTTCAATTAACCTGAGACTGGGGTGGAGAAGAAACACCAGTCTCAGGTTAATTCAACATGATTAATATTCACCAGCTCGCCCGCACCCTTACGATTTTTTCTATGATCAAAGGCCCATCGGGTAAAATTTTAAAAGAATTGAGTGATTTTTTGTTTCAATTGTCGCACAAAAGTTGCAAAATTTTTACTTTCGATTTTGACAAAAGTATGACTTTTTCCATTTTCGGGCCCAATGCAGAAAACACTTTCAACACTAGAAAGCTAATTACTTTGTTAAAAGTTCACAAAGCATGAAAGACTCGACACAAAAAGTTTCAGCTTTAGAATATAAATTTAAAGCGACTTAAAAATTCGCCAAAAAATGCCTATTATGTAACATTTGCTCCAGAATTCAAGTTCAGCATTTTATTTCGCTTAAAATATAGGCTCACATAAGTTAACTTTAACTAATTCTGGCTGTTAAGTATGCGTGCATTAAACATTAAAAAAATTGGCTGTGTAGAAAGCTGCACTCTTTATTCCTCCAGCCTTTAATGTTGCGTCGTCGCGCAGTTGGGAAAATCGTTTTTTCAACCTTCTCTTGAATGCGATTTTTCACACGAATACAAGTACCTTGAAAAAGTAAGGTCTCTCCCATTGTGTGGACAGCTTGAGCTACCTCATATAACAATTTGACTGAAAACAAGAAATAGGCATGGCACCACCATGACCGTCCTTATCTGAACACACCCCACAGTAACCTACATGTGTACGATCATACTCCACTTAGATGGCTGTCTAATCCATCATTCTAACATCTAGAATCTTAAAAAAAGAAAAAAATGCAGCCCCACTCTTTAAAGGCCCAGAGATGGAACCGCACATATAAATGCGTTAAATGTGGTTGAAGTCGGAAATAGAAGGTTAATTGCACATTTTTTTCTTTCGTGGGATTTATTGCAGCTATAACTTTTTTCATCAAAAGTGCATTGTATATAGTTAGTCCATTATTTACATGTTCTGATTACCTGGACAAGACGACTCGTATTTGTGTTCATCCCTTGTCCGAAGAAGCAGTCATGTTGCAAAATGTTAACTGCCATTCCTTTCAGTCTTTTCAATCGACTTTTTGTTCAAAAGTGTGGGCCGCCTATATTTCGTTTCACCGTAACTTGGTAAAAGGCAACCGCCCCTCGAGCCAATCAGAGAGACGAAGCGAAGGTATGTGACAAATCTGTACAGATGAGCACTCCGATGGTATGTTATCGTGAGCCTCTCTCCAACGTGCATTTTGGCAACGCCGTTTGCCAAATTGTGATATAACGAATTACAGTTGCTACTAATGTAATTTCCCAAGGCCTTCATACTTTGGGCATTTGTTCGACAAGAATCTTACGTCAGCAATCACTGTGAGGTCGGCTGAGCGCCTATTGGACTCGAATGCTGCCTTAGCGTTCGACGTAAACTAGGGCCCATTCGTGTTCTTTACGCCGAAAACAAAAATGGTGACAGTCATGCTGCTTGATGGGGTTTTGCAAAGGGTCTATTGTGCCATACGTTTATATATGAAATGGCCTGCTATATAACAATGCATCAACACATACTATTCAACTAGATGCTCAGAGGTGCGTCTGTTTTTGCAATTAACAAGCTACAGCTATAGCTATTTCTTACGAGTGTAATATTTATTTGCGGTAGCTGGGCCCGTTTTGTGCTCATTAATGTCAGTGTGCTATGATCCTTACCAAACACTGACGCAGCACTCGTTTTCGATAAGAGCTGAGCCGAGACCACGCCGAACACTGATTCAGCCCTCGTGCACATGCTCCGAGTGTGTGCCCAAATAATGGCTACTAGATAGCGCGTACGTACGTCTGAAAAAAAAAAAAGTTATGTTGATGTCTGGTGACATTTCCCATCTAGAGCGTGACCCGTTCACCATTATCTTGGCAGACCAACCTCCCGCTATCTCCACATCTAAAGTCGAATTCGTTTTGTTTGAGAGGTCGTTTTCTTAGCTCACGAATGTTTGGAAAGTAAATCAAAACCTGAAACTTAAGAAAGTACTTTAATATAATTGTGGAGGAGCTCAGGGACGAAATAAAAGGATGGCTGTCGTCTTTTCTTTTTGCGAGACAAAATAAAAGACACAAGAAGAAAGTGATTTATTGTCCCATTGGCTTTTTAGGGACTCAAATCACGACGCAAACCTAAACAAATCATGCACTCAGTGTTTTATTAGTGTTAGATTTCATCGATTCTCGGTTCTTATTCAATGGGCCTTGTGTGGCAGCATACAGTCTCGTCGAAGATATCATATTTTGGTCTAGCGACAGAGGGGCCAGAAATATCGGGATCCTCTTCGTAGGCAGAACGGCACTTTGGGTTTATATTTGTAAGATTCGGCCTGCCAATCGACCACAACTCGTACACTGAAACACAAAAATGTTTTATCGATATTTTTTCATCGTAGTAGTATCAGACTAAATTCTCCAAAAAAGACAGCCGATGAAGTAAGTGACCCGCTAGGACGATTACGGCGCCGAACGAATGAAAATCCTGCTCGAAACATGGCTGCGCACGAGGAGAGAAATGGCGACATGAAAGAGTGTCCGGGCCCTGGTGTAGCCATATTTAAGGTAAACTCGCTCGAGAAGCTTTGCGCCTGTTCGGCAGTGAAGATATCCGTAAACACAGCATCTAATAGTCGAGAGTTTTAGGGAATACTTTTTGCGCACCCCATACGCTACACGATGGGTCGTCTGGTACTGAGCAATGCGCTACCACAGAACTGCGCTGTTCGTATACACCGGATGGCCCAACGTCTCGCATATAGGATGTGCAAACACGATTACCTAAAACTTTCTAAATGTGTTCTCGACGGTCCGGTAGCCATTAGAGAAGAGGATTTCCAAGTGACGATCATAAAATTGGCGGGAAAACAATAGAAGACGAAGCCGAGGGTTAATAAATAGTTGGTATCCAGCGATCGGATGCCTTTTCTCCTTTCTCTCCTCACCCTTTTCTGTAAGTTCAGCTGGTTTCCACAATCTAAGAAAACTACGAATTGCCAGTCCATCTTATGTAAGCCTGATGAGTAGCTGGACATGGTTTATAAAAATATGGGCTGGCATATGCTAGGCATAGGGTCATTGTATGAATTTACTCAAACCAACGCCGGGTTCCTACTGTGTTTAGCTGAAGTCGTACAACGTCTGTCAACATCCCATGCTGCCGCCGTCTTCGTTCACCGCGCAGAATCCTCGAATTCAGTTCTTTTTGTTGCGTCTAATCTATACGCCATGAGCTCGCGACCCCAGAGGTTGTACGAGAGCACCCTTATTTATACTTGCCACCACTGTTCGTCACGACATGATAGACATGCGCATTATGTTTTTGCTTCAAATCAAGTCTTCTTAATTTATTTGTGTTATACAAGTCATCTGTTGAAGAAGTGATCTGAACCGAACAACAATTTGAACTATAAAGTTACTCGTTGTATCTATATAGTATACGAGGGCAGTTTGAGAACTAATGAAACTGCGTGTTTGCTTTTTATGCAAGAGGGTAGATGGGCAGCGTTGTGCTAATGTTTACGGAGGTAATACATTCGCATTCGTTTCTTTTCCTGCGTCTTTTTTTTTTCTACGTTCCTTTCCCTGTGTCTTTTTTTCTATTTACCGTTCTGTCGCAGTGAACGGGGACACCTCAGAGACAGGCACGTAGCCGCGGGGGGGGGGGGGGGGGGGGGGGAGGGGCCCCCCCCCCCGTAATCTTTCATTTTGTTGAAACCTCCTCTCCCCCCTCCCCCTCATATAGCATTTTGTTATGGGCGGCCCCCCCCCAAATCAAAATCCTGGCTACGTGCCTGCTCAGAGTCATACATGTCATCATGGCGGACGACAAGGACGTGTTTGTGTAAGTATGGGGGAGGCACTTTTAAGCTTTAGGGAGTGGTAAGAGCACTGTAGCCCTCGTAATATAGCCCGGATTTATCTCTGCGTAAATCCCAGCCATTTGTAACGTTAAAGAAAAAAATGCACTTTTTTTTTGTACGATGATAGCGAACAATGTTGCGGCCACAACGCATGGAAGTGGTGTCGTAAAACATTATTGTACATTTATTTTGATTTTTAAACATTCTAACAAATATATTCAATGTAAAATATGTTACTTTGAACATAAAAAAATAATCAGAGCCCAATTTGGAATAAAATATCCGGTCTCATTACTTTTCAAATGGGGTTCGTAAAATTAAAATGGAAACAAAATGTTTGTTTAGGGCGATGTTTCCCTCAAAGGACTATGTTTTCAGCTCAAGATGTTAAGGAACACAGAATGCTACTAATTTTAAAAATTCGTTTTTTTTTAGTAACAGGGCTCAGAATTTAGTGGGTCAGTAAAGAACTTGATTGCCTCTGGTTCGCCCGAGCATTAGATCAAAGAATGGAAATTGAAGACTAAGCAACCTGCACATAACTATCATGCCTTGTTTATTTTCTTTTACCCGATACTTCACACTTTGTCTTAATCATAGCTTATCCAATAAAAAAATATCATACTACATAATGCGAAACTTGAGGACAAAAAGGAAAATTCTCGCTTACCGCCATTTGTGGGCTTTCTCACCGTGAAGCAGGTTGAATAGTCGGTAAAGAGCAGATCTTCATATTTCGGTCCTGGGACTAATTTATAAATAGGAATCGGGTGTTCTCAACATGTATCGAGTGAATAACATTGTTAACCGCTGCAATGCTATAACAATATCCCTTAAATACCCCAATGAAACCAGTTTCTAGACTAATTAGTTCTATGCTGTCATGGACCTCGAAGAAACCTCTGCTTGGTTCTCGCTTCAGATTTACAGTATAAGCTATGCTCATTTAGTCACTCCATCCGCCGATTCTCTTGTGCACGCCGCCATTTTGGTGCTTATGCACTTTTCAAAAATCCACTAAGCAACATTGAGGGTCGCCATTTCTTGGCCACGAGGCTCGTGACTGGAGCCGAGTCCTCGCCGTGTGCTGACGCAAGTCCGTGCCTAATTATGCTCAGAGTACGTGGTCAAAAAATTGCGGACGGGCGATGGCGCGCACTTTCCAAAAAAGGGTCTCCACGATTTGAAAAGGCCACTTCCTGAGCTCGAGACAGGCGCGATATTGTTTTGGCTCTGTCCCGGATCGTTTTAACATTTCTGGACGGCGGAAAAGCGCTTCCTGCGATTTCAGATAACTTTGCTTCAGGGAACTGGCAACCATAATTTCAAGCACCAAAAGCACCTGGAACGATTGTCTTCCGCCGAGTTGGCATTATGGACCCTAGGCCCACATGAGTATACCACCAGGGGTACTGAATAGGCGACGCTTCACAGTAAGGGCACTTCGACCACCTTGGTGCTTAAAATCATGGTTGCCAGCAGGGTGTAAGATAGACAGGTGGGGAAACGAGAGCCAAATGAGTGACCGCATTGTATCCTCCTCGGTTTTCTCTTTTTCTGTGGCGCCATCTATGTGGAGCACCGCGAACTCTCACTCCGGGTGGGCGACTGATGGCGACCGGCTAAACTGACAGAGATAATTTCTCGTAGATTTTTAATGAAGGACTATCGTGCTCTCGGTTTATTTTGCGCAATCTCCCATAAAATTCCACGCAAATCCGATTCCCATTTTTTTCCTCTCGCCGCAGCGCCATCTGTCGCCAATCGGGGGTACCCGCAAGCAGACGAGTACACAATCCGGTCACGGCGCTGCGGTAGGCTTCTATGGGCCGTTTCCCCACCTGTCTATCTTACACCCTGGTTGCCAGCTATCTGAGGCGTGATTTGAAACCGCAGGAAACGGTTTCCCGTCCTTCATAAATGTTAACTCGGTACTTGACGGAACAAAAACAGTGGCACCTGATCCTCCTGAAGTCGTACCTACAGCTCAGGAAGCAACATTCTCGAATCGTAACTATCACCAATTGACCGATCTCACCAGCCAGTTTCGCTGCGCCACCGCTGCGGATATGCACGAGCAGAATACGGGATGGCACGAGCTGTCTCGTGCTCTGGCATCTGTCACCTGCGAGGTACAGTTATGGCGACGTCACTTATGCGTGGAACGCTTAGTGCGATCGGTCTATTGCACTTCGCTCTAAGCATCAAAATGGCGGCGCCCAGAAGGACATTAGAAAATTGGGTGCCGTATTCTAAGCGTAGTTTTCTCAGAGGCTCTATTCGCAACTCCAGCGCGCCGCTCTCCTTTTCGTGGACGAACAGAGAACCTTAGGAGCGGTGACGGCAGCGGCGGCGCGGAAACGGTGGCAGGGACAGTCGACCTTGATGCGTTAAACCGTTTTACCGAAAAAAGTGAGCGCGTTGAAAAATTACACCATCTTCCCGAGGGGAACCATGGGGTGATGCGGAGCATCGCGGATCGTTATTAACGGTGTTATTAGACAGTTTTAGTATAGCGTTGCTGGCTCTTACGTACGCAATACGCAATAGTATAGCGTACGCTAAAAATGACCTGCTCGGACCGAATTTAGTTGTGCGTTACGTTTTCGAGTGAACACCGCGCATGATCTTGGTTAGATTTGCTAGAGCTGCAGAATTCCGCGTGTTTATAGTGCAACCAAGCTCCTGGAAAGAAATATTGAAAATGAAAACATGCTCAAACATTTTATTTAAAATTAAACCAAGCCGCAGCTGCCTCGTCAATAGCGCTTTTTGTGCGGGGTACAGAGGCTACGAGTAAAGGCCGGTTCAGACACATGCGTTTGAGTGCGTTTGACTGTGTTGCGTCGAGAACCGGAAGCGAGTCACCGGCACATCTGTACTTCGTATGAAGCGTGCAATCAAATTCAAAGAATCATCTTAGCACGCGATATAAGTAGCAGGGATGTCCTGGTTTCTCGCTGCCGCAACGCAGTCAAATGCAGTCAAACGAAACTGTCTGAACCAGGCTTAAGAGTGCGTAGCCAAATTCGATCACGGAGCCTCCGTCAATCAATCCGTTGAAACGACACCTTTTATCAATGCTATTGCGGAATGAAATTCATGACCCTGATGTCCAGTGCATAGCGAGAAATTCGGCGATTTCTTTTAGAGTCGTTCGTCCGTCGGCGATGAACTGCGCGAATAGGTTTAGCGTTGAGCAGATCGCAGCGTCGACGCACACTGCGAGCGGGGAACATTTTCACTGTGCACTCCTTCAGCTGCAGGGTGATCTGATTCAACCGCGGTAGGTCCCAGAAAGAATCGCCGAGCTGAACGCCATGCAATTTCACGTAACACGGAACTTCGAAAACACCACGTCGCCCTTGCTGCGCCAGTCGAGGCAATTGACCGCCATCTTGAAACTGGCGCTCTCGTTGAGTCCGAGATCTGGCGCTCTCGTTGAGTCCGAGCGTCCCGCAAGGCCCGCTAGCCAGCAACGCAAAATCCACAGCGTTGCGTGCGTACGCAATACGCTAGCCCTTCTATTGCGTTCTGCGCATGCGCACTCACAACCCGCAATCTCCTTGCGTACGCAAAGCTATAGCGTACGGTCCACTAAAACTGTATATTAACATTGTTAACTTGCGTTGGTTACCACACATCGCGTGAACGTTGTTGGAAACTCCGCAATGCTCCGCATCACCCCATGTTCCCCTCGGGAAGATGGTGTAATTTTTTAACGTGCATCACGCAGTATAGTGATTACACGAACGTGTGCCGGTACGAAACTCATCCAGATCGAAACGGGCGGGGGCGGCGGGGATCGAACCCAGGAGGTTCCCAGCGCAAGCTTTCGCTCCACGCTCCGAGCTGAGACGCGTTAGCCCACTCGGCCACTCCCTCCCCTGAACGCGCGCAGCGCGCTACCGCTGCTTATATTCACACTTGAAGGAGAGAAGACTAGAAGAGGAGAGTTGCGCATGCGCGCGCGGTGTGAGTAGAAGCGAACGCACACGAAGTGCACGCAGCTGGTAGAGAGAGAGAGCGGAGAGAGTAACGCGCAGCTGTTGGAGGGAGGGAAGGAGGAGAGTTGCGCATGCGTAGTGTGAGTGCGGACTACGACGCCGCGGGACATAGACCCGAGCAAGAGATGCTCCGCATCTAAAAGGAATTATTGTGCTCCGCCTTGCAAAAACCTTGCACGAAGGACCGGGATGTCTAATTTCATTAAGGACTTTTCGTGTATCGCATACGCTGAGGATTTCTGGTATTGTGTATGGCCACCAACTCAATCTGTGCTCAACGGGACGGAAAACGCTCCCGCTAATAATGATTTGTATAGTACGGTCTACGGGAAAGTCTATTCTTTGCCATAAGTAGGAGAAAACTCGACGCGCAACGGTATGTCGAGCAATACAAATCGGGAATGGGTTCGCGTTTTAAGGCCGTTACAAGGAACATGACCATTTATTCCGAGCACTTTAAAAAGACAGAATACTCGTACTTGCTTTCGGGTAATTACAAAGCAAATAAAGAAATGCACGAAGCATTTCAAGCGCGTCTGTGTTCGCCAGCCGTTTGTGAGGGGAGCTTCGAACGCGCAGTTTTGGCCATAGGGACCGCAATATTGCAAATAACACGGTACAAAAATGTATGGTGTATTAAAATATTTCTTTTTGACAGGGCAATAAATAAAACTCCGAAACACGCCGATTATGTTAATAGGCAGTTTTTGCATAGCGTACGGCACCCCTAAACTTCAGATGGACGTACAGCGCACTGACGTTCATGCGGCGCCACCAACTTTCACGAGCGACTTGATAGCCGAGTTGTGCAACTTATTAAAATAGCCTAAATATAGTGCAAATGACAGTAAAAAAAAAAAAAAAAAAAAATCGGAGTTTTCTTGGTTTTCCTGCAAAACCTCGGTGTTTTTTTTTTTTTTGTTTTTTTTTTTTTTGGGAGGGGGGGGGGGGGTCTTTTTGAAGCGTACTTCAGCTGTTTAATATCTTATATTGCGCCGTCATCAAGCCTCTCGTAAAAGTTGGGGCTGTCAGTTTGACGTCAGTGGGCTGCATGGCGATGCACGGCGAACCGAAGTTTTGGAGTGTCGTATATGTGACAAGGGGTGTAAGGACTACAACATTTTTTTTTTTTACAGTGATGAGCACGGCAACGCTCTGGCGCGCACTAAAAATTGTGCTTCAAAGGCGCAGCGCGAGCTTGCGGTTGCAATGCTACACTGCACGGTAGCCTGCGGTAACAAACTTTCTATCAATAACCATAGAGCAGTTTGATTACGTGTTGCAATACACTAAAACCGAGACGGTGAGCAGCGAGTTGTGAGGCTGTGACGCGAAGACACTGTGAACGCTGCACTTCCGAAGCTTGACGGTCACCGTTCGCGGCTCTAGAGCACTAATGGCCAGGCAAAGCGCAAACATACCTTCATCACCCTCGAAAATATTCTGCCACAAACAGTAGCGTGGCCGGTGCCTAAAACGCGCTTGCCCACCTCAAAGCTTCGCAATTCGAGGTATCTGCAACTTTTAAATAACAGCATGATCGTTTTCCTAACGTGCGTCAGCATATCCGTCACCTGTAATATGATCCCTCTCTAACCGCTTCGTATTTGTAGACAAATAAATCATTTTTAGCGCGCTGAACAACGTCAGCGAGCAGGCGCACGGGATATCCTGGAGAATCTATCCCCGTCTCTCCCGCCATCTTGGAGCTACCGTCCCGCCACCTATAGGGGGTTGGAGTTGCGAATAGGGCACCTCGTAATCTTTTAAAGCATGAGATGAATTTTAACGTTACCCCCACAATCCAGAAATGCTGTCCCTCCGTGCATTTCCCGCTACATTTAGCGGGGAAATTGAAATCACGTGACCTAAGCACCAATTCAGTTTCCCCGTTACAGTTTTATTTATTTTACTTATTTATTTATTTCAAATACCCTCAATGTAGTGAAGAGGGGAGAGAGCAGTTGGTGAGAAAATTTGTCATGTGACCTGATATTACAGAATCTCTACACCCAATTCAGTTTCCCCACAAAACTGACGTCACATGAGCTGATGTCATGTGACGTCAACTTACTTGAACTGAAATCGACCCATACACCAATGTAGTTTTCCCGCTATATTTGGCGAGGGAATTCATGTCACGTGACCTGACGTCATCAGAACTATATGCCCCAACTTAGTTTCCCCTGCTAAGTTGAGCAGAAAAATGGTCGTCACGTGACCTGACGTCACGGGACCACTAAAGTGGCGGGAAAGTTGATGTCACATGACCTGACGTCACGTGACCCCAAGTCACGTGACCTACGTATATATATATTTATATATTGATGTCACGTGGCCTATACTATGCTAGACTCAATATAGTTTTCTAAACAAATTACAATGATCGCTTCTTAAATACTGAATTTCAAAGTGTACTGCTTTCTGCCCCGGCTTTTCTTGTACATAATCATGACTCTTATTTTTACTTATTTCTAGTTAATACTGGTAGCTTTAATGGTTCATCAATCCCTATAGAGTTCTATGCTGCTGAAAATTGCCAACATTGAGGGTGCCCAACAAGTTTTTGGACTGAGCTGAACCCGAATAACGCATTTTATTTTACCACGCGTTAGGTTTTGGTAGGATACATTAGGGGCTTACATGGAAACATTATGGTTTTGGTTGTCATCGAGTCATTGTATTTGAGAATTTCGTTCGATTTATTCGGAGTGATCACGACGTGATGTCGGTTTCTGGAATTTAAAAGAAAAAAACATTACATTGTATTTGTAGGTTGAGGCTTGAAAGATACACCAATTTTCAATGATTGGCAAAATCAGCTTTTAAATTTATATTGATATGGGGCTGTCTAGTGGATCTTCCACTCCATTTTTTGTTTGGTTTTCGCAGTGTGATTTCAGGAGTAAAAGCCAGCTTATCTTCCGTTTATATTTTTGTCATCTTTCTTTTTCTTATTAAAATCCCTGTTCCAGTTGTACTAGCGGTCTACGCCACACGGGGGGTGCGGGGTAGAGCGCTAGTACAACTGGCCCAGACAAACATATCCGTATTTCAATCACCGCCACCACTCGCTCGCTCATCGGGGCAGCTAACTTTATTTCTTCCTATTCTAGGTTTAAATTATGTGTTTTTTTTTTCAAGCTTGAAAATGGGTATAACAGTTGACTAAAGGTGATGCCACAGTTATTGTGCTAGGGAAATTATCTTTGAAGCTGACAAAGGAATTTAACTTCCTAAAGTGTTTTATGCATTACAAGTGGCAGACGACTGAAAAAGACACCCCGACGATGGTGCGCAATTAGCGTGTAAGGCAGAAAAGTAGAACTATGATATATTTGCATCTGTCGTAAGTTTTGTCGTAAGTAATAAGGGCGATATTTTTTCCTTCTTATTTTAGTGGTGTGATTGCCGATTCGTGAAAAGCGTGGGAAATTTAGCTGATGGCACAATATTTTATTGATTTGCTTTTCTACTTGTTTATTTGGTAACATCTATGAAGCTTATAATAAAACTTGCGGCGTTTGGTGCCTTCGGTTGAAGCAAACACAAAACACAAAGGCATACCGAATTAATGTCTTTTTTTTTGTTTTTGTTTTTTTAAGATACGTTTGTAACCGATAAGGAGCAATGTACGTAAGGCGCACATAACGAGTCATGTTGCTCTACATTTTAAGAGAATTTAATGTTCGCATTGTCACCTTCCAATTTGACGTTTCATTACTCCCCGAACCCGAATCCATCAGTGCTCACGAGGAAAAATGTATCAAAAACCACGTAGTCTTTGATTGATAGAAGGTATCTCAAACGTTACGAAAAAAATAACCACTATAAACTTTCATAAATATGCAATATTCGCTAAAACAATACAAAACTAGAATATCTATAGTTCAAAAGCGAAACCAGTGCAATGAATTAGCAACATATAAAAACCTAAAACACCAAATATAATTATAGTTAGGCCGGGGAGAATCCAGAGCACCTTATTATCGCTTTACAGCAAATGATAGTACTTGATTAGCCAACAAAAACGCTAAACAAATAACAAAGCAATAACTGTGAACTCAACATCCTGTATTTCTCCAGCTTGTCAGTGTGTGTAGTCTATATTATAGTATTGGCCTCAGCAGATGCAGTGTGGGGTAAAGTACACATAAAAAGTACTTGAAGTAAAGTACAAAGTAAATGAAGGGTTATGTACTTGAAGTAAACTAGGCGCAATTTACTTCAGGTAAAATAATGTAAATACAATGTACATTAAAAGTAAAGCACAAGTACTTTTTAACACAGTTCTTCAATATTCCCAATTTTATTTCCCTATAGAGTGTTTTTTTTTTTTTTTTACTAGTATGCGTTGCCTTGGGGGTAATTGGAGGTGCATCAGTAATTTTCGGGAAATGGTGGCGAATAATTGGGTTAAGTCAAGTGGCCAAAGAGTAGTTGTTTTACTCTCGCTGGTGGCTGAAACTATTTAAACACGATAAACTTATACGGCACTTATTTGTATCAAGCTTATAGGCACCTTTCCTTCACGCAGAGAAATGACTGGATGATGGCTCAAAATACGCATAACGATACGCCTTTTTTTTTTTTTTTTTACAGAGGAGTTGTTAAGGGCTAGTTTCCCCAGCATCGTGTCCGTCAGAAAACAGATGATAACACGAAACTCTGGACAGCTACCTCCATCTATAAACAATTTCGGCAACCAGACAACCGGCTTGCCGGTTGTCTGGTTGCCACCGTCGCTTATAGATGGCGCAACCTTTCCAGCTTTTTCATAGGGAGGCTCTAGTTCCTTTCCAACCTGGCTGGCCGACTTGCGGCCGTCCATAACTTAATTCTCACCATAATACAGCTTCGCTGGTCTTCTACCTTCACCAGTGTGGAAAGGCTGGAAGTTTTTTTTGTTAAAAGTTGGATCTAACCTTACCAGGAAAATCAAGGAGACGAGCACGTTGTCCTTGAAACGGCTGGATTTCACCGAAACGAAATTTGGGGAATGTACTTTGAAGTCGGGAGTTGTACTTTCCTCGGAAAAAAAAACAAAAAAACTTTAAGTACAAGTATGGACTCAGAGAGCGTCCTTGAAGTAACTTACATATTTTCTAAACCTACTTGAAGTAGTACTTTAAGTACAATGTACTTATAGTACTTCCCAACACCGAGCAGATATCCGTATTACACGTCGTTTTAAAGGCCTTTGAAACTTACGAACTTGAGCATTGAGGATTTGCATCAAAAGATTATTCTTGGTGACAAGCGTTTCTCTTGAGCAAAACCAACAAGCCAAACAAGGGGCGTTGGCATGTTCTTGTTTATTTCGACCAGTACGGCCAAGTTGCTCTAAGGATTATTGAAACAAGAATGGATACGCACATATGACCTTTGTGATGTACGTAAAGCATATCCCTTAAAACTGTGAAAGTTTGTCTCTTTTCAAAACCTTCCAAGTGCTTCCTTTTAGTACACTGTGCGTCGGCAAAGTCAGAATCGTTTTTCACGGAACGGTAGAGAAGGTAAAACGTCCGGTTTGTAGACAAGAGCTGTAAATAAATAGCAATGCCTCGGCATTAGACTTCATAAATATTTAGAAAAATACTCCACTTTCTACGTTTGATAACAACTCTTCGAGTCTAAGAAACAAAAATGGCGATTGCTTGTTTGCGCTTCGGTTAGAAGTTACGAAAAGTTTTCGAGGGAAAGGAAGGCTTGGGAGAGGAAGGTCTTTCTTTTTCACCTCTCCAGCCTTCCGTTTGCTTCCTCCTTCCCAGCCATCCTTTCTCTCAAAAACTTTTTTTAACCTGTAACTGATTATAGTAGTGTCGAGCAGTGTGCGGATCATTTAGGACAATTAAATATTTTCATTGGTTTTGCGTAATTAACTTTTTAAGGGGTGATGCGTGACAAAAAAACAATATTTTGCAAAAAAAAAAAAGATTGAGTTATGGTTTTATGATGTTTTATTATTTTTTTAATCTTCATATTTGATGTATAAAATAATTAGTGCTGGTTAAGATCGCAGAATTAGTCAAATGCGGATTTGAAGACTTCCAGGCAACCCACAGTGGCATGAATTTAAGCCATTTTTTTTCTACGTGGTTCTTCAAGCTGTGATGTCGCCCGCCATCACATTTACACTGAAAAGTAGACCTAGCCGTCGTAGCTTCAATTTCTCCGAGCAATTTATTCAAATTTTGTTTTCCGCACCGCTAATGAGTATAGCCACACCTCAATGGTAACATTTGAAGGCGTTTTTTTCTTTTTATGTAACTTTAGGGCATCTTCACAGTTTGTGCCGAGGAATTGCTGTTCTTAAAGGGCCGATGCAACGATTTTTGTACTTTGCGCAAATACCACTTAGAACGAATCCTTGACGCTAATGACCTGTAAAACACCCGTCTGTTCTTCACCACACCCAATCAAAGTCGCAGAAAAAAAAAATAAAGAAAAACGAGCAGCGTTCATCTTCTCAACTCGGAGCGGGAATGAGCGGCCACGTGATCTGGAGCCGATTGTATGCCGCCAATGTTGATCATAACAACGCGCTGGGGTTGGCGAAGCACAGAAGACGCGCTGAGTCCCAGACATTGTTATGGCTCGGCTGTTGTCGTCGTTGCAGCGATTGGACACGGGGCACTAACCGAATGCTCCTCTAGCTATCGATTATCACGAGCCCAAATCAAGTGCCCACGCAATGCTCGGGTCCAATCTATGAACCGCATTCAAATATCGTCACTTGGGTGTACTGCGATCCCCACGTTACGTCAACAAGTTTCGCGAAGGAGAGATTAAATGAAAACGCTCGCTTTTGTCCTTGAAATTACATCGCACCAAAGGAGTTTCTTGGCCAGTGGCGTTATGTCAGGTGAGAGTATCCTTGAGTCCCACTCGTGACAGTAAGCTCGCATAAAGTGAAAAACGTTCCAATTGAATATCGTTGCACCGCCCCCTTAATATTGTCCTATTGCTACCAAATTTGGCATGCATATATTTTAGAATATGTACAATGCAACTATCTAGATCTACTTAGAATGTATATTTTTATTTATAAAAAAACGTAAGAAACTTTGTTAGCCCCTTGAAATAACATTTTTTCTCTTTTTTGTTATTTCAAAATGAAAGAAGCATCGCACACATTATTTTTGTTGTTCATTGCACTCAGTGGTTTAAAACAAGTAAATTAGTTTATTTTACTAAGCTTTTCAAGTATATTGTCATGCCTCACGTGTGCAAGAGCATGGTTTTTTTCAGCATACAGTGCATCGAAGACCTTAAAAAAAACTATATAAAATCTAATTTATTTGTTATGAAGAGAAGATTAAGCAACATACACTGTAGAAATTTCAATTCGATATCGTTAATAATAATAAAAACATATCTCCTTACACGCATGTTCTCGATGTTATAACTTCGCCTCGGTGGTCGTCGACCGAGATCCAGACAACAGACACCCGGCTTCGATCGCACCCGCGTTCCAACTCTCACGGGGCTTTTATTTGTGAGACAAAGAAGAAAAAGACCAAAACACGCGACGCCTTCCTAGCGGAGGTAAATCATTCAGTTACTACATTTCCCCACACTAATCCAAAACACACGTTACACAGTACAACAGCAACACTTCAACTTGGTCTGCCAACCAGGTAATAAGTAAGCCTGTGGGGTTGCCTACTTATTCGCGTGCTGTGCCTTACAGAAGGAGCGGGCACACCAGGTTCGTCATCGTCATGACTATTGAAGTGGTTCTCAGGCTCCGAGTCCGAGTCATCTGAATCCGTGGATGCTGCCGGCTCACCGTGGTCCACCGGCGAGCTCCGTTCAGTATCAAATACATTTTGGGATCTTGGCCTCAGGTGATCACAGTGTACAAAACGAATCGTACTAAAGACTCGCACCAAGTATGTAAGAGCACTAATTTTCTTCGTCACCTTTCCTCTTACCCATCCCGTTTCCTCCCCTCTCACGTTTCGCACCCACACATTGTCTCCGACATTGAACTCCCTCGGCCCTGCCTGTTGGGTGTCAACGGACTTCTTGGCTTCATTTTGTTTTTCTCGCCGAAAAGAAGCAGAACCGGGTTTCAACAAGGCAAGACGTGTCCGTGGCAAGCGCCCAAGAAAGTGCTCTGCCGGCGTCTTCCCAGTTACCACGTGGGAAGTTGTTCTGTACTGGAACAAAAAGTTTGACAGCTGCAGCTGCATGCTCCTTTTTCCACTCCGCTCCCTGTCCTCCAGCGCCTGTTTCAGAAGGGACTTCTTCACCGTTTCAACTGCGCGTTCGGCAAGTCCATTGGATGCCGGGTGGTAAGGACGAGTTGTCGTGTGCAAGATTCCATTTTCACGCATGGAGGATCTGAACTCTTCAGACACCAGCTGTGGTCCATTATCTGTGACCACTTCCTCTGGCAACCCGAATTGCGAGAATATGATCTGCAGCTTTTCGATGGTGTGCCAAGAGGTCGTAGACGACATTAGAATGGCTTCCAGCCATTTTGAGTGGTCATCAACTAGGATCAGTATGTTGGATTGATCTTTCTGTGCGAAATCTAAGTGCACGCGTTCGAAGATCCTAGTAGCCAAAGGCCAATGTTGAACCGGAGCACGGGGGGAGTTGTTCTGCGTTGCTTGACAGACGTCGCACGTTAGTAATAGTAATAGTAATATTTATTCACAGGAAATATATACAAAAACAGTGATCTGGCCCACCAGACATGCTGTCTCGCCAGCATCTTCATTTTAGATGCTCCTGGGTGCCCTTCGTGTAGAAGACGGATGATGACGTCATGCAATGTTTTTGGGATGACCACTCTCGTGCCCCATACCAAGCATTCCTGGTCGGTAGACAACGCTTCTCTTCTCTGGAAAAAGGGAATTAAGTCCGGATCGTCTACTTTCTTAGGCCATCCTCGTTTCGTGAGTTCGATGATCCGAGGTAGTAGGGTATCCTTTTTAGTCTCCTCCTGCACTGTCCAGCTTGTGATCGGAACATGATCGAGCGGCGAAAAGAAGTTAACCTGGTCACAGTCTTCTGTTTTCGCGGGAAGGGGGAGCCTTGAAAGGGCGTCGGCGTGACTAATGCTGGTACCCTTCGCGAAAACGATCACAAAGTCGTACTCAGCTAACAGAAGTCGCCATCTCTGAATACGTGCAGCTGCCATGCCGGTTGACTTCTGCCCTTGCTTCAAAAGTGTGGTGAGAGGGTAGTGGTCAGTGACCAATGCGAATCTTCTACCGAAAAGGTACTTACGAAACTTCTTGACAGCGAATACGATAGCAAGCGCTTCCTTTTCTACTTGCGAGTAGTGTTGTTCGGCCGTCGTCAATGTCCTTGAAGCGTACTCAACCGGTCTGTAAACTCCCTTGCTCACTTCATGAGCCAAAACTGCCCCTACACCATAATTAGAAGCGTCGCAGGTCAACCTAACAGGCTTACTTGGACAGTACAAGGTCAACAGATCAGCACTACATAGAAGCTCTTTAGCTTTCCTCACACACTCATCACATTCTTTTGACCACAACCATTCAGCCCCTTTTTCTAGCAAGTCGTACAGAGGCCGCAGCAATGCTGCCAAGTCTGGCAGAAACTTGGCGTAGAAGTTTAACATTCCTAGAAAACTGCGGAGCTCATGTACATTTGTAGGAGGCGGAGCGCTTTTGACCGCTTCCACCTTGTCGGGGCAAGGCCGGAGCCCGTGTTTGTCAAGCATATACCCAAGGTACTTCACTTCGCCCACAAAAAACTTGCTCTTTTCCAGGTTCAAGCTCACACAATGCTTGGCAAGTCGTTCTAACACGCGTTTCACATTGTCGAAACATTCATCATGGTTCCTGCCTCCAATCAACAGATCGTCAATGTAACATGCAACCTTCGGCAACCCAAGCAAAACCTTATCCATGGTAGCCTGAAAAATAGCTGGAGCGCTCGACACGCCGTACGGCAATCGCGAAAACTCGAAAAGACCGAGGTGAGTGTTTACTGTCAGCGCTTTCCTTGCGTTGCTATCAAGTTTCAGTTGCAAACACGCAGCACGCAGGTCAAGAACCGTGAACACGCGGCACTCCGTGAACGTTGCGAACAACTCGTCCACCATTGGCAAGGGGTAGTGTTCCGTACGCAAGTTCGGATTTACTGAGACACTGTAATCGCCACAGATACGAATCTTTCCGCCGGGCTTCGGAACAATGACTAGCGGAGTTGCCCAGTCACTCGTCTTCACAGGAGACAAGATACCATCGTCAATCATTCTCCTCAACTCGCAATCAACAGCGTCCCTAAACGCAAAGGGAACGGTACGATGCTTGCAGAACACTGGCTGAGCATTATCCTTGAAAACAAGGCTTGCCGTGAATCCTGTTATTGCTCCGGATTCTTTCTTAAACACCGACGGAAACAACACTTTCAATGTTTCAAGAGATTTCTCTTCTGCTGTAACTGCGAAAACTGACCTCCAGGCCAGCTTTACTTGCTGCAGCCAGTTTCTACCAGGCAGCGTAGGTAGCCGCACACTGCCGTTTCTTACCACCACTAAACTCAGCACATGTTTCCCATGACCGCTAGCTACCTCGACGTCGGATACACCGACGACGTTAACTTTTTCCCCGGTGTACGTACGCAAGCTGGGCTCACACCGTTTTAGCACTCCTCGAGGTAGAATCTTTCGATACGCCTCTTCTGGCATAAGGGTAACTGCAGAGCCCGTATCAACCTCCAACTCTACCTCGTGACCTGCTATTTCCAACGTAGTCGTAACCGGTGGCACCCCCGCGACTACGTTACAACGTACAACGCACACGTCTCCGGGGCCCAGATTAGGCCAGCTCTTTGGCTTACCCCTGGTCTGTTCTCCTCTGCACATTCTTTTGATGTGTCCTTTTCCGCACTTGAAGCACTTCGCTTTAAGGAATGGACACTTACAAGGTTCATGCGCAGAACCACATCGAGAGCAGACAGTTCCTGGCTGTCGCTGCTGTTCCTGGTCTTGTCTGTCCCACAACCGATGCACGTCGGTGGTATCTGGACCGCTCTGTCTCTGCAGCTCTTTACTCTGCTCTGTAGCCAGTTCCCTTGCTGCAGTGCCACCTTGTAGACGTCCCCGAATTCGGAACTGCCATCCATCTCGAGAAGCGGTCGCTGAATCTCGGCATCGAGGCAACCAGCAACGAACCGGTCTCGAAGAGCAGTGTCGATTAATTCACCAAAGTCACAAGTCATGGCCAGCTTCTTGAGGGCAATCACAAAGTCTGCCAGGCTTTCGCCGTCCTTCTGGTACCTCCGGTGGAATTTCGTCCGCTCCGCTATGGTAGACTTGGCCGGCGAGAAGTGGTTCTTGAGTACACATGTCAATTCTGACAAGTTCTTGGAAATCGGAAGCGCGGGCACCAGCAATTCTTTAAGAGTGCGATATGCATTTGTCCCGAGGAAGTTCAAAAACGTTGCCGCCGCATCCTCTGGTTTCACAGCATTCACTTGCACAAAAATCTGGAAGCGTTCCAGGTAGTCGTCGAACGTTTCCTCGTCCGGTCGGAACTCGTGGAACTTCGGCATGCTGTCTGTTCATCGCATCGTCGTCGCCAGTTGTTATAACTTCGCCTCGGTGGTCGTCGACCGAGATCCAGACAACAGACACCCGGCTTCGATCGCACCCGCGTTCCAACTCTCACGGGGCTTTTATTTGTGAGACAAAGAAGAAAAAGACCAAAACACGCGACGCCCTCCTAGTGGAGGTAAATCATTCATGGCGAATTCCACTGGTCGTTTTGGAGCGCGCCGGGATCGACTTTTCTGGAGCGAGCCTATTTCACTGGGCGATCGGGATTGAGACCGACATGTTTCACTGGTCGTTTTGGATTAGCTCCCGCTCCAGATCTCGCTCTGGATCCGATGGCGAATTCCACTGGGTGTTTTGGAGCGCGCCGGGATCAGTTCACCAGATCCGGAATGGAGCTCACAATCCGAACGGGGTCGCGCCGGCGATGGATCCCCCGTGGAACATGACCACTGCTCCGGGATCGGCATTTGCCTTCATGTCATTCAACTGCCGGGGAATCCCCTTTCCGCGGCCGCCGCGGTCGTATCGAACACGTTTTCGCAATCACGGCGCTAACACGTGTTCGACGCACGAGCGGCAGGAGTGGCTCAGGAGCTTCTAGCAAAGATTGCCGGAATGCCCGTAGCGCGGCCCCCAAAACCTTCTCTTCTCCTTCCTAAAAAACGAACCGGCTGTTGAGCCAAGGGGTAAAGACCCTGTCACACTGAGGGGACAGATGGACAACTCTATCCGACAACACGGGGAAATCGTGTTGCCGGCGACCCTGTCACATCGCGGCAACAACAGTCGGGCAACATATTGCTGCCTCCCAACAACAGTGTGCCCGATTTGTTATCCGACAACGCTGTCACACCGCACTGACGGCGAGGACAATACGGGGAACACTCTGCCATCTTGATTGTTTACCTTCGTTCGTGTGCGGCGCGGAATCGCTGGAAATGTGACTCTACACAGTGCTAGTGCGTTCGAAGGGCCGGGAATTACCACGGCACGACATCAACCAGTGGCTGTAATTCGAAAACTTGACACGGGGAGTAGTTTCCGCTCTTTATTCTACCGAGATGTTCATCATTCGTTGACAAAGCAGATAGCCCTAACCGAGGAAAGTGACATCGCTGATATATGTTCGGCATTTATGCCACCGTATGAAGTGTTTCTGTCCGGTTCTTTCATGCAATTCCTATTTCTACTGTGAAATTGCGTTAGCACCGGCAGTACCCCAAACCGTCTTTTGTAACGTGGTGTTGAGCTGAACTGACAGTGCTTCAAAACTGCGACACCGACACCATCGGCCTTCATAACAATCGGTGGAATAAATATTTTTCAACGCTGTCTACTTGTCTACCGCCTGCTATGTGATCGATTCATTGCCCCAAAACATCCTGGGTATTTTTGAAACAAATCAGGTGTCTGGTAGCGGCTGGTTCCAAGTATCAACGTTTTCGCAATCGCGGCGCTAATACGTGTTCGACGCACGAGCGGCAGGAATGGCTCAGGAGCGTCTAGCAAAGATTGCCGGACTGCCCGTAGCGCGGCAAAACCTTCTCTTCTCTTCTCCTTCCTGGAAAACGAACCGGCTGTCGAGCCAAGCGGTAAGCAAGCGGCCATTACCATTTCTTCTGAGGCGAGATCAGGCGAGATGCCCGCGAGAAAGGAAGTCACGTGTGTGCGCCGAGGGCTGACCCGGCTGGCTTCCGGTTGAATCCGCCAAAATCGGGGGAGCGACTTTCTCGGATCCAGATCGAGATCTGGAGCGGGAGGTAATCCAAAACGATCAGTGGAACACGTTCGTCTCGATCCCGATCGCCCAGTGAAATAGGCTCGCTCCGGAAAAGTCGATCCCGGCGCGCTCCAAAACGACCCGTGGAATTCGCCACGAGAAAAGTCGCTCCCACGATTTCGGCGGATTCAACCGGAAGCCAGCCGGGCCAGCCCTCGGCGCACACACGTGACTTCTTTTCTCGTGGGGCATCTCGCATCAGAAGAAGAAGAAGCACGTGGCGGGCTGGGCTCCTAGATTGTCTCGACATCAGAAGAATTCGTAATGGCCGCTTGCTTGCCCATTGGCTCGACAGCCGGTTCGTTTTCCAGGAAGGAGAAGAGAAGGTATTTGCCGCGCTACCGGCATTCCGGCAATCTTTGCTAGAAGCGCCTGAGCCATTCCTGCCACTCGTGCGTCGAACACGTGTTAGCGCCGCGTAGCGAAAATGTCTTCGAAACGACCGCGGCGGCCGTGAAAAGGGGATTCCCGGGCAGTTGAATGACGGGAAGGCATCCGCCGATCCCGGAGCAGTGGTCATGTTCCACTGGGGATCCGTAGGCGGCGCGACCCCGTTCGGATCTTGTGCTCCAATCCGGATCTGGTCGACTGATCCCGGCGCGCTCCAAAACGCCCAGTGGAATTCGCCATCAGTTACTACACTCGAAAGATTTGATTCAGCTGAACATCCACTCCGGCATGGAGCGTCAACTTAACCGAAGCCATTTGGTTCGACCTAAGCTTAAATAGGAGTTAGATTTTAGCACAGCTTGAAGTATCTGTTCACACTACAAAAACTAGGTCTCGAATTTTAAGCTTTTGGCAGTTCCTCATGTGGTGAAAGCCTACAGAACATCAGGCATTTTAATATCCGGCTCAAGACATATATCTTCCCTAGATAATATTATGCAGTAAACATCATTCTATAAATATTGCAATAAAATATTTTTTGTATTTTTTTTTACGCCGGACACAATTTATGCACGTGATTGTTCATTGACAATTTTCTAGCTTTAAAAATGCAGCGCTTACGAAGGCAAAGCTCGCCTATCATGTGCGTTGAATCTCTGTAAATGTATTACCAAGCTTTATAGTGCGTTCCAACTTTAAGGAAACGCGGTACATACCTTTGTTGAATCGTTGTGCACTTGAACTTGATTTTTATCTTCAGTCGATTGAGCACATGCATCGCGGCAGGCTATAAGAGTCGCAGCTGCACAGACCAATACAAACATATCTTTCTGGTAAAATTCGGCCTCAGCAAAGGAATCGAAAAGCTTTGATAAATATATACGTATACATCTAGCTGGAAAATACCAAGAAAGGTCATTTCTTGAAATGACCTTTCTTGAAAGGTCATTTCAAGAAATGACCTTTCTTCATTTCAAGAAGTCAAGAAAGGTGAGGCTCACAATAATGCCTTACAACCATCACACATGAACCTGTTGGTCAGCGAAAATAAAATAAGTTCAACTAAGCGCAAGCATCTACTCAATACTCAACAAAAAATAGGGTTGCTTTTCTGCGGTGATTTGCCGCAGGCTATGTCGAAATGCGATGTACTGCTTGTCTTCCATGAAAGCTAGATTTCTTTATGTGGGTAGGAATTGAATAAGAGAAGATGAGTGCGTGCTGGAACGTCGGAACACCGAGCTCTGGTTGGAATAAAGACTTTTAGCAAACCGCTGCCGTATTCCGCGTACCGCACTACAGAAGCTTGTGACGCATTCTTTTAAGCACGCACTCGAAGGAAGAAGACGACGACGACACTGCTGCTGGTAACGTTTTTTGTGTCTCTGAATTTTCCTTACGTAGCCGATAAATTGCGTGTTTAAACAGTATATTCGGTGATTAGCAAGTAACAGAAAGACAGGGTTTTCGTGCGCAAAGGACCTCCTGAAGGGAGGCCAGGACATCAACAAATATGACCTCGGACATCGAGTCATCGAATGCACTTATGTCCATCGACATGGATGAAGCTCAGACAGGCACATCAACGATCATCAAAGACGGCTATGAGATTCCGCCCATAGACTGCACCGCTGAAACAATGACCAGTTCCTCATCGACAATCGTGTCTACTAACGACGAGTTGCACTCCGACGACGGTGACTACGAGGTCGTTCATGGCAAGAAAATACGAAAGGCAAGCCAGAGCTCAGCATCACATTCTAAAGAGAAAACCAACCTAAAAGTCGGAATCACTGTACTATAATGCCGACTGACACTAACAAAATTGGATCGCTCAGCAAATTTAAACTCGCTGACTACCTGAACAACGTCGCACCAGGCAGGATTAGTTTAGCTCGCGTCAACAAAGCTCGTAATATCGTTGCGGTTGACGTTAAAAAGCCTGCACTCAAGGCCGAACTCCTGAAGCCAACCAAGCTATGCGCACTGCCGGTGCGTGCTTTTCTACCTAGCGACCGCACAAATTGCTATGGCGTCCTTCGAGGCATCGACCCTGACTGCACAGAACATGACATAAAAACGCGACTGCAGTCGACCGCCTGCATAACGGAAGTGAAGCGCCTTGGCAAGACATCCCCTGTTGTGCGAGTATCGTTCGCAACAAAAGTAGTTTCGCAACATGTCAATGTCGGTCTTGTGCGAACAGAAGTAATTCCCTACCGAGCACGCCCCTTGCAGTGCTACAGGTGCCACAAATTTGGCCACATCGCAGCTGCCTGCGCAGAAGAAACCCAGTTCTCGGTGTGGACAACGCCACAACGACAAGTGCGAAGCCAACCCCTGCTGCATTAATTGTCACGGAAATCACGCTTCCAACGCACCTGAGTGCCCAGTGAGGGCAAGGGAGGCAGAAGTAGAAAGGTACAACTTAGAGCACAACACTACATTTCTTGAGGCAAAACGTGCTGTGCATGCAAAAAGACAAGCAAACAAAACAATGACTTCAAACGACATGCCAGAACCTAGCGCCTCCACGAACGATACTCTGTCTCTGACTGCTCAAGACTTCCCTCTTTTCGAAGACGTAAAGAGCGCATCTGCAAATCTGGTCACCGCTGAATCTACCGCAACTACACTCCCAGTTCCTAGGAAACCTTCTTTTTGGGGAAAACCACACATCAAAACATCACTTCACATAAGGCCTCCAACATGCACATGACAGAACCCAACTAAGAAAGTGGAACAAAGACTGACTCTGTGTTTAAAGCATAATCCCACTTATGTTCACCGCTTTTCGCAAGATACTGGCCAAAACGTCACAGACATCGACACTTCATCAAGTGATAAAAGCCGTCCTCTCACTAGAGCCCATTATTACAATGCTATGCTAGAGCTTTTCCAAGAAGGTCTTACTTGTCAGTACAAACATTTTCTTCACTGTAACTCGAAATCTAAATGGCATCGAACAAACGAACCAGATCATATTGAAACTCAGCCTGTTGCACTGCAGTGGAACGAAACCTGTTCATCACAAGTCCTGTGCCGATTTCTAACGTATACGCTTCGTAAAACGCTCTCATGAGATCATTTAAGGTACAAACACCTCATACACCAGTATTAATCACAGATTTCAAAGCTGCAGGACAGCAATCTTTCACCATTCGCCTACACGCACCAACTCATCCACAATGGCAGACATTAATAGAAGGATCACCAAACACCTTCAACCCCTTTCCTGTTCAGTTTTTCAGTGGAACTGTAATGGATTGAAAAGGCGACTGCCTGAGCTCCGCAACCACCGCGGGGACAACTCCTACGATGCAGTAGCACTCCAGGAACCCAGAATGACAGCCAGCGACATGCACATTGCGGGTCATGTAGTGTACGCCAGCAAACCACATGTGGCAAGAGGGTTTCCGCGGGCAGCACTACTCGTGCGACGAGAGCTGCCATAAAGTGAGGTGGACCTCAATTATTTATGCACTGAGGGTGCAGAGTTTGTGGCAGTGACGGTGGAACGGAGAAGACGCCCACTCACCATCGTCTCGGCATACGTGGCCCCTAACGCACTTTGGGACACCCATGTACTTGCGGACATTCGAGTGCGAGCCAAGGGAGAGCTTATAATAGCCGGAGACTTCAATGCGCACTCAAAGTCTTGGGGAGAGAAGCAAGACTCCTCACGGGGACGGGGAGCTACAGGCAACGGTCGAAGCACTTGACCTGAGAAACATCGCAAGTGGGAGCCAGACGTTTATCCCCCTTGGAGTGACGGGAAGCGTGATTGATCTCACCTTCACAACTTGGTCCCTGAGGCTCAGTCCAACCCCTCAGGCGGACATCTGGGGGAGTGATCACGTTCCAATTTTCATTGGAAAGCCGCTGAAATCCCCCTTGAGACTTGCCAGATAGTCGACTGCTACCGTTTCAGGACACTGCTTGGAGAGGCACTAGAGGGTGGATTTCCCTCCAATTCAGAAACACTGTCGCGCGTCCTCAAAGAAGCCACCCGTGAAGTCGGAGTGCCATTAACGCGCCCTAACGCCGACCTCGAATGGCTTAAACTCTGAGCGAGGAGACGGCGAGCCCAGCGAAAGTCGTGGGTCACCGGAAAACCGGAGGATAGCCTGGCCTACTGGATGCCAGATTTAGAAAACACGGAAACAAACCGCCGCGCCGACAATGGCGTCTCAAGTGTACAACTCTAGACAGACCATCAGGAGGCAGCCGGGCTTAGAGGATGTCGAGAACACTGGCGGGCCGCCCGATTCCCCGAAATCCAGTCCTTGGAATGGCCGTTGCCATGAACCTCCGACCGACAGAGATGGTAGAACTCCTCGCGAATACTTTCACTGAAGGTCCACTGGTACCGACAGTGCCCCCCCCCCCCCCCGAGAATTGGGAGAAGTACCGTCATCCCACGGCACCTCTGATGGAACAACTGGACACCGACTTTACTCTCCAGGCGCTGCAGTACGTCCTTGATGCCCTTCCCAGACACCGCGCGGTACCAGGACCGGATGGAGTCACCAACCAGGCTCTGAGAAACGCTAACGAGTCGGCACTCTCGGCGATGCTAGCTCTCATCAACCATGTCTGGAGGACGGCTGAGCTGCCAGACGCCTGGAGGGTAGCAACCACAACACCACTGCTGAAGCCCAGCAAGCCCCAAGACCAAATAAGCTCATACAGGTCCATCTCCTTGACATCATGCCTCTGCAAAGTGATAGAGCGTACGGTGCTACGCTGTCTTGTTTACCACCTAGAAGCGGAAAGGGCTGTACCGGACTGTTTTTCCTGATTCCGGCACCATCGGAGCACGGTAGGTGCAATGGGAGATATCGTCAGCTCACTGGAAGAAGAAAAAACGCAGGGTTGGTCTGCGGTCGCCGTCTTTCGGGACGTCCGCAAAGCCTTTGATGCCCTCCCCCACAAGGCCGTCATTTCAGCGTTTCGGGATGGACGGACGCCCGCTGAAATCTATTTGCGCGTTTCTTAGTGAACATACTATGTGTGTAAAGGCCGGCAGCGCGGTGAGCAACCTTCGGAAAATCATCCGAGGAGTTCCCCAGGGGAGCGTTGTTAGCCCGCTAATCTTCGCTCTGGCCATCGCGTCGCTTCCAGCGGCGGCAAGGGTTGGAGAAGAACCGGCGCGCCCTATCAGCATGGCCGTCTATGCAGACGACGTGGCACTCTGGTCTAGTGCCCCCAGCTACAGAAGGCAATTCGTATGGCATGCGCCCTCCTGCGAGCCCTGACAAATACAATGTATCGTCTTAACCAACTGGGCTTGGCAATATCAGCGGAAGAAACGATTGCGCTGTGCTACGCTCCAAATAGGCCTAGCAAGTTCATTCCCACACTACGCATTGAGGACACTCCAGTGAAACTGGCGAAAACGGCCACATATCTTGGCGTCACGTTGGACTCGAGGCTATCCTGGGGCCCAGCAATGAGGGAAGTGCTCCAAAAGATGCAGACCCATACGAACATCCTTCGGATGCTCGGCGGAACTACCTGGAGGAGTAGCTCGCTGGAGGAGGCCAAGGCACAAGGTTGGTCGGCGATGGCCGCATTCCTAGACGTCCGCAAAGCCTTCGACGCCCTCCCGCACCGAATCATCATCTCAGCCCTGCGTCGTTTCGGGGTATGTGGACGACCTCTTAACTATATTTGCGCATTCCTCACTGAACGCACCATGTGCGTAAAAGTCGGCGGAGCGCTGAGCAAGCCCCGACGAGTCGACCATGGCGTTCCCCAAGGGAGCGTAGTCAGTCCGCTCCTGTTTGCATTGGCGATTGCATCACTCCCAGCCGCAGCAAGGGTAGGCGAGGAACCAGCACTCCCGATAAGCATGGCTGTCTATGCGGACGACGTGGCGCTCTGGTCCACGGCCCCGGGCTACCGTAGGCAACGGATGGCACGCGCTCTCCAGAAAGCACTTACAAACACTGTGTACCACTTGCATCAACTGGGTCTGACAACATCGGCAGAAAAGACTGTTGCTCTATGCGACGCACCAAGGAGACCCTCAAAGTTCCAACCGACCCTGTTCATCGGAGATGTTCCGGTGAGAGTGGAGAAGACAGTTACGTACCTAGGACTCACCTTGGACTGGAGGCTATCCTGGGGCTCAGCAACGCACGTGGTGCTCCAGAGGATGCGAACGCACACAAATATCCTCCGCGCGCTTGGTGGAACTACCTGGGGCACATCACAACATATGCTACTACAGCTATACAAGGGTCTCATTCTGGCTCGCCCACTCTACGCCTTACCGCTCATTCGACTGAGCGGTAAGGCGTAGAGTGGGCTAGAACCTAGAGAGAGCGCAACGCGTAGCTCTAAGAGTTTGCATCGAAGTTCCCCGTTCGGCATCGTCACGACACACTCTTACCGAAGCAGGTATGAATTCCGTTGAAAATCTTCTGCAAGAACGAGCGCTCGGACATCTCATCCGAATGAGCAACTGCGACTCTACCATCACGCTCTTCATAAACATCGCCGAACGTACAGATTCGGAACTGGGAGCTCTGCACTTTAGGCGACATCGCGGGTACACCATGCAGGACCACTAGCGCCACTTCCAGCACTACACACAGATCCTCACCCTCTGATGGTTAGTATCTGCAGATTAGGGCTGCGGACCAAGAAGAGCGCAGCAGTGGTAACCGCTCGGCAGCTGACGGAAAGTCACTTGGATGCAGAGTACGATGGGCGGACACGCGTTTTTACTGACGGGTCGGTAGACCCATCTGGAGGCACAGCAACAGCAGCGGCCTTCTTTGAGGCTGCAGCCGTAGGTATACACGAGCGCCTGTCCCATCAGGCATCCTCTACTACCGCAGAGCTGGCGGCCATACGACTTGCCCTCTGGGGAATTCGGACAGGCTGCGCACGGGGGCTCAGCTGGGTAGTCCTGAGCGACTCAAGAGCGGCTCTCGGGCTACTATCGGGGCTAGAAAGGGCTACGCCTCTGGCGCGGTCAGTCGCACAAGATGCAGCCGAGCTCCAGGAGAAAGGCCACGAGAGTATCTTCCTGTGGATCCCCAGTCATTGTGGTATCAGGGGAAACGAAGTCGCCGATTCCCTAGCAGCGCAGGCTCACAAAAACCCCGGATGTCCGCTTTCTACAGTTCCCCGTTTCTCAGACGCCAAGCCTCTAGTGAGAAGAACCACCACACGACAGAATCCGGACCCGAGAGTGGTGGACGGCACGTTCTCAGCCCGTCTCCCACGAGGGTTGGATCGTCACACTGCCGCGGTGCTCCACCGTTTGCGGACTGGAAGCGCTTTCACACCAGCGTGGATAAGCCGCTTCAGGCCTGATCTCAACCCCAATTGCCAAACCTGCCAAGAAACTGCCGACGCCGAGCACCTCCTCCTACACTGCACCGACTACGATGACGAGCGTACTGCCCTCCATAACGCCTATTCCCACCTCGGACTCTCCAGCGCTAGCCTGGAGGACCTTTTGCATCCGCGGGCAACGCGAGCTGTGGCAGACATGGCACTAAAAAAAAAAAAAACTAATAACTTACATGAAGGACACAGCACTCCTAGAAATTTTTTAGGAGACCACCTGCAGTTCAACACACCAGAACAAGGCACGACTACCCAATCTGCCGTTCCAGCTCATGATTACGAAATCTGCATTTCAGACACAGCTTGTTCTGCCAAGACAAGAAACGTCATTCCTTCAACGGAACGTTCGTGCCGATATTAGCCTTGAAGCACAGTTACCAGCCACCGCAGCTTTAAGATATTTAGCTATTCGCCCTAAGACGGCTCCACATCAAACTTCGACAGGCTTTGCGTTCTGAGGCTTGGGTCGTCCTATGATTCGACACGCCGGCGACGGCCAGGACATCACCCTGCATCTCGCTCCCCCCCCCCCCCCCCTAACCTAATCCTCTCTCTTTCTATCCTTTCTTTTTCACCCAATCCCTTCCCTATCGACAGTGACATGTGCACAGAAAGTGCACAAGCAACAGTCGATTTTTCAACAAAAAAAATATAATAGACATCGCTTTCACTCACTCACTCACATGATGCTGCAACTGTATAGGGGGCTCATCCTGGCCCGCCCATTGTACGCCCTACCGTTCGCCACACTCAGTGCCAACCGGCTCGAAAATCTTGAACAAGCGCAACGTGTGGCACTCGGGATTTGCCTTGGAGTTCCCCGCACGGCCTCCCGTCTCGACACACGCTCACACAATCCACGATTAACTCTGTAGAGAACCTCATGCCAAACGGGCGCTGGGCCATCTGACTCGAATGAGCAACTGCGACTCCACCATCACGTTCCTAATGAGTATCGCCGAGCTCACTTAATCAAGACTAGGAGCGCACCTCTGCACCCTTGGTGACATAGCTTTCACACCAAACACCTCTCGGTCCACTACCAGAGCTGCACAAGAGCCCCACTCTGAGCAGATCAGCCTTCATATTCCTGGACTGCGAACCAAGAAGAACGTAGCAGTGGTCGTAGCAAGGCAGCTCACGGAAGATCACTTAGTTACCCAATACGAAGGATGAACCCGAGTGTACACCGACGGATCAGTGGACCCCTCTGGAGGCACAGCAACAGCAGCGGATTTCTTCCAGGCAGCTGCTGTGGGTACCAGTGAGCGCCTGGCTCATCAGGCATCCTCCACCACGGCAGAGCTAGCAGCCATATGGCTCACCCTCTGGGGAATTCGGACAGGCTGCACACAGGCCCTACGCTGGGTCATCCTGAGCGACTCAAGATCAGCCCTCGAGCTGGTACTAGTCTCGAACGGGCCACGCCCCTGGCCCCTGTTTAATCGCGCAAAATACGGTCCAGCTTCAGCAGGAAGGCAACGATATGGCCTTCCAATGGCTCCCAAACCACTGTGGCATTAGAGGGAACGAAGTCGTTGATTTTCTGGCGATGCGGGCTCACAAGAACCCCGAGTGCCCGCTCTTAACCGTTCCCCTCTTCTGAGACGCCAAGCTCCTTGTGAGAAGAGTCATCGCCCTGGAGCACCCGGACCCGGTAGTGGTGGCGGGTGCCTTCCCAGCTCGGATACCGCGCGGCTTCGACCGCCAAACTGCCGCAGTATTGCACAGATTATGGACCGGAAGCGCCTTCACTCCGGCGTAGATACGTCGCTGCAAGGAAACGGCCGACGCCGAACATCTCCTTCTGCACTGCACTGATCACGAAGAGGAGCGCACCAACCTCCGTGACGCCTTTTCCTGCCTAGGGCTACCTATGACCAACTTGGAGAAACTCCTGCGTCCAAGGGCGTCCCGAGCTACTACAGACAAGGCACTCAAGAGTGTAGTCAGCTTCCTAAGCAGCGCGGAACTGAAAAGATCCCCTTCCCCCCCCCCCCCCCCTCTGCTCCTTTATCTCTTTTTTTCCCTATTTCCCTTCCCCATCGACAGTGACATGTGCGCCCAAAGCGCAACTAACTACAACGTCAATTTTCTAATAAGCAACAACTTCAACAACAATCGCGCACCCCGGTGTCACGAAGAGCGCGATGTCACAGGCTCCGGTAGTGCAGTACGCGGAACACGGTAGCGGTTCGTTAAAAGTCCCCAATGATTAATGGGTAGACGCAAAGACAGCTGCCGTTGTATCTACTCACTCTTCGAACGTGTTCGATTGCCGAACACCGGCGTCCTGCGTTCGGCGTTCGAAGAGTGAGCGTGGTGGTAAAGCGTTTAAGTA